CAGGAGGACGATTAGGGTCTTCAACCAAAGCCTTTGGCTCAAAAGCCTAACCGCAAGGCAGCGGTGTTTGGCGGGAAATGCAAATGCATTACCATTTCTACGGAACAAGTCGCCACATGTTCCAACCCCCAATCTGGAGGGCTAGGAGACTGTGTTCGTCAGACCTCTAACCATTGACCAACCTGGTATGAGAGACTCTGTGAGTGTCGCGGGACACTCTCCAGTATAGCTCAATGGATCGCTGAGGTGCGCAAACCGTCACACCACGGTAAGGTCCAGTCTCTTGCATCTCTCTCCATCCCACAGATACTGAAACATATCTAGGCTAACGCACCGTTAGTTTCAGTTCATATTGTGAATTATGTTTTATAAGTGACTTTCACAAGTTCATCCGCGTTTTCCACATTTTCAAAAAAGCTACATAACAGCGGGAATCAGGTTTGGGTAAAGATAAGTTAACAGAAGCCATTTGTTACCATACACTGAAACATTTGACAGCAACGGGGGTCGATGTTCTTCACACTCCACCCGTTCATTCATGGTATTCGTAGTTTGACTAATACCGTTCCTGAGCCCGGTTTGGTCGCACTTGTTAAACCGTGGAACCTTTGTGTACTTGAGGCTGCTAATCCATACGTTATGAACAGACCTCTATGTATCATATTAGAATTCAAAAAAATCCATTGGGGCTGAAGGTTCAGGAGCCACTCGGCATACGCACACATTGAGTATGTACCAGATCCTTCACCCGGCAAAGTCTACCAGGGAGCCCGCCTTTCAATAAAACGAAGAGCAAGGCGATGCGCATCGGGTTCACCTCAAACACACTCCACTTATTTGGCGAAAGAAACACTCAAACCACAGCTTCTGGGTGTGGCTGAGGTCAATAATATCTGCTGCTTCCAGCTTTTGACCGAACATTATTATGCCGGCGAGGAAAGCTTGGGTTCATCTGACTGCTCTTGCCCACACACACATTCCAGTGGAATATTTCCGTCCTGGTGGTGCTCTCTTACACCCCATTGTTCAAGTCATATTCCAGATCACCCCAAAACTTGAAGGGAGACATCCAATTTTTCAAGTTTAGCCATTATTGAGCCAGCACGTAGGTGGATCATCTCCCCCACCGATGTTGTGGAAAGTGTTCAGGGGTCCGCCTGAATAGCATTTGTTCGGGGAGGATGTGCTAGTCCACGACGGCTCAAAAACACAGAAGGTCCAGGGGAAAGCTGCTCATTCCAGCTCTTGTGAACAAACCAAATGTGAAACATATAAAGGCGCTTCCTATCGTAGCGCCTCCAGTTCCGCTTTAGTAGCCCGACGATAGCGTTTTTAGTCGTTTCGAACGCTCCGGTTCGCACCTCATCGCACTCGAATGCTATGCCCGGCATGTGCTCCCATGGCACCATCGACCATGATCACATGTTGGGCATGGGGTCACTGTTAAACCGTTGCATTCGGCTGAGGAAAACACCGTTGACCATGATCACGTGCTGAGCATGGGATCACTGTTAAACCGTTGCATTCGGCTGAGGAATAAATACAACAAGCGGTAGCCATCCTTATGCTTCCAAGCGGTCTGCAATCAAAATCAAACCCTAGTTTTGTACTTCTCAGCATGTAGCATGCACAAACGAACTGCCTGCAAACTAGTTCACTGGTTTCTCGGTAACCGCATTCAAAATTTGTGAGCAGAGACGCCCGGGTTTTGCGCATTCGCCTTCCTTATACAAGCCACAGCAAGTCAGTCCCGAAGGAGCCACAGTATTTTAAACACGCACCTATTACTGAGCTATTTATGCAACTGTTGAAACCCAGTTTTGATATGAAGAAACTGGGAGTATTTTGGCGTGAGGTACACAAAGGAAATACCAAAACTTCTACGTGCAATTAAGTAACGGGTGTTTGTTTAAACCTGTAAGGCTCATCATGGCGTCAAAGAGCGCTCGGTTTCATTATCGCTGCTTGCTCGTCAGCTGGCTGGTACCGACTTGATGTAAGTGTTTTCTCGTTTTTGCTCATATCCGGCCGAACAGATAGCGTGCAATGGCGAGAACCAAACAAACTGCCCGCAAATCTACTGGTGGAAAGGCACCTAGGAAGCAGCTTGCAACGAAAGCTGCTAGGAAGTCTGCCCCATCCACCGGTGGAGTGAAGAAACCGCATCGTTACCGACCCGGTACTGTCGCCCTTCGTGAGATTAGGAGATATCAGAAATCGACAGAATTGCTCATCAGGAAACTGCCTTTCCAGAGGTTGGTCCGGGAAATCGCGCAAGACTTTAAAACTGACCTGCGGTTCCAAAGTGCTGCTGTTGGTGCACTCCAAGAGGCTAGCGAGGCCTACCTCGTTGGGCTGTTCGAAGATACCAATTTATGTGCCATTCATGCGAAACGGGTGACCATTATGCCAAAGGACATTCAGTTGGCCAGGCGCATCCGCGGCGAGAGGGCTTAGATCCGCGTTGTTAAATGAATGGTAAATTTTTACTGCATTTTCCTGTCACATCCTTAAATATTGTATACTCTGGCAGCACCAGTCCATAATCGTTGTCCACAATATATACTTTTTTCTTACGGATGCTCTTGTGAAGTGCGAATATTATGGGCCTTGCAATGCGTTAGCGCCGCATTATCTGAATGTCCCGTCTACATGCACGTCATCATTGTCAGCTGTAACAACCGCGTACTTGCCGTACAGTGGTTGTAGCTGCAGCAGTTCCGTTCGTTTCGGTACGTGGGGTAGGTAGCTCCGCATTGGAGGCGAGAACTGATGAATTGGTGCGTGAATGCAGTAGTCGGCGAGGGGATTCGAAAGGGAGCTGTGCATTGAAAGCAAAGTGATAAATTGGTTCGTGAATGCAGCAGTCAGTGGGGGGATTCGAAAGGGAGCTATGCATTGAAAGCAAAAGCTTGGGCGCGACTGGGTCATGTCTGACAATGTCAAGCTTGGACGCGTGAGCGCCATCGAGGGCGCGACCGGGCCATGTCTGACAATGTCCCTACGATTGCCGTGGTCCGTCTCGAAGTCCCAATCCAGGAAGACGGCAATGACCGCAGCTGAGTTTGCAGGTAAATGCTTTTATACTTCGCTGCAAAGTCATTGGTTGACCGCCTCTGGCTCCTTTCCACCCTTCACGTGGTTGTGCTGTCAGTCCCACTCTAGGAGTCTAGGTTGAGCGCATTGAGTACCATAAATTACTTAAATCAATGAGATTTGTTTGACAACGCATCTGACACGACGAACAGTTTCGTTTCGAGAGAACTGGCAGTCCAGGCTACGCCATCTAACCCGCAGCACTGACGGGTTGTGTCCGTAAAGTTGTAACAACTCCTAAAGCTCACTCGAGCACTACCATATATGCGTTCGGTTCACCATTATCGTCGACAGCATAAGTGTTTAACAATGACGCTTCGGTTCTCTTGAGACTGGTATGGACTCCAGGTTTTATAATGGTTTGCGCCATAATATTTAGTTGGCTGAAGGCCACCACGTCTTTCCCGCGTTGAAATAGTAATCTACTGTCACTGACCTCTAAAACCACGGTCTGGGCTAATCTCTCCAGTAGTCGGTTCCGCGGCTGTGTACAATGACCGTGTGGCTCGGAATGATCTTCCACAAGTGTCATATGCTCTGGCTCATGGTGCCTCCTGGACGACGCGTAACGTCGTGTAATCCCAATTTTGAAACAAGTACATGTGGAGTCGCTTGATTACTGGACCTCGTGCGCAAACCATATATTGAGGAAGTGAGAAGAAACAACGCCTGCTTAGTATATGCTCGAGTGCTCTCACATCTTTGATGGAATGTGAGAACTCCGGTTACTCACCCGTGGGCAGTCGGGACGTGCGCATCGTCACGATCTGTAAGCTGGTGGTGGTACGGAATTGACAGGTGTGCACTAGTGGCTGCGGAGAAAGTGAGGTATAACCGTCTGTGCTAGTTTCCTTCGGAGATGGTGGTCAGGTCTTGTCGCTTGACGGGCTAATGTGCTGTTAACTGGCTATAAGGCATGGCTTGTGGTGCCCTGCATCAATCCGGACATGAAGGCGCGGTAGCTTCGGTGCGATGGTCTCGCTAAGTAGAGATTTTCGCGATTTTCTTAACGGTCACCTGGACACCGACATACCTGGGGGGATAGATGGCCACTACGTCGCCTTTAAGGCAATCCTAGGTGGTTGTACCATCTTCGTGGTAGCTACTAGACATATAAGGTGCTTAAATGCTGCGAATGACCTAGAACGATGCCAGCGGTGCAAATAGTTTAACAGATGGATTAACTACTTAGTTCCTTTTTTGCAGACATGCCACCGTTTGAGGCGACCATCGCTGCGAGAGCACTGTGTCAGTGTGTAGGTTTGCCATCCGGAGGCATCGCTGAGGCCCCGGGCCGAAGATGTGCCAGCAAGGTCACTGCATTGGCACTGGCAGTCGCTAACCACAAAGTATCCCGAATCCGTGGAGTGGAGGATGTAGTCTGAAATCCAATTTGGACCGTGTTCCTTTATTATGCTACGTCGTGGAGTTCGCGGGTCGCCGCGAATGAAGTCATGAGATCAATCATGGGCAACGGTCACCCCAAGTATTCAGAACTGAACTATGGAGGAACGAACTGGCGTGTTCTAGTGTTTCTGAAACAGAACGGCGTAGGGCATTTACTGGTCGGGATGCAAAGTCAAGTGTTATACCTCTTCATGTTATCAATGGACATCAGCGCTGACCCGTAGTAAAATCAGGGTGATGTATGCCCACCCCCCGCCAGACGAATGTGAATAGCCTTCTTGTGGCAACGGGCAGCATTCAGGCTCGTGTGTGCAGTCTGATAGTGAGTCCGAGAAATCGGAAACCCATCAGAGCACATGCTAACATTGCAAAGTTGAGCGGCTCTTACTGACTGGCGCATCGTTTTTCCCTTCAGTAATTCTGTCGTGTGGCGATGGTCCAGGGTATCTTTGTCCTTGGTCAGGTCTCCGGGGTTTGAAAAGTGTGGCGGAACTTCCTTGGGAAGAGATAAGACCTGGTTTTGAAGTCTTGTTCGTGTGACTTTGGGCTGGGGTCCATGGCCATCTCATATCCCAAGGCTGGTTGATAGGGTTGTCCTAGAGCCAGTGTTCAGAAGGCTTGCAGACAAATTCTTTGGGTGGTAAACGTGGGGTTATTAGGAACCACTACCTGCGTTGCGCCCGTATTCCGGTATCGAAAGTCCTCTGAAACCTGCCTTGTGGAGGGCAAGTTACGGTTACACCCACAAGCCAACCCATTTCACGACATGTTGCGCGTGATCCTTGGCGGCTTGCTTGACGTGCTTAAGCCATTCACAGGGTTTATTGGCACAGGTAGACGCATTTCAACTCAGGGACAGATAGGCTCGGATAGTGTTTGAGAAATGCTTTTTTTGCAGCCTGGACACGTCCATAATTTATCGAGGGGAGCTGCAATCCGATGCGCCAAATCATGCATGGGAAGATTCTGGGCTGGGCGTATTGTTGTGATCGGAAGGTCAGTGGTTCGAAGCCTAACTGACTCGTCGCACTGGTTAACTCACGGTAACAAGAGCCGAAGCTAAGTGTGCCGATCTATTGCATGTTAGCGGCTGGTGAAGTTGTGGACACGGCATGATGAGATTCGACTTAATTTTCTTGAGACTCAGCTTGCCTTCTATAGTCTTTCAGGTCCTATTACGGCAGTGATCCCCGCGTTCCAATGTCAGCGACTTGCTGCTAATTTTAGTTTCCTGCCTTTCGAATAACATTCTTAGCTATACCCATGGGTGGGAGGGGCACCCGTCACTATGCATTTGGGGAAGCACAACAGAAGAAAACACGGATAAAACGGATTTTTGGTGACCATTCCGTCAGTATCCGAACCTAGGCGGGGTTTGATCGGTATTTTAGTTAAGTAGCCAGCCACTTCCACCTTAACGGTTTTCAGATCTGGCATGAACTTTGAACCAACTCACCTGACGTGGGTCCCACACGTGTACTGGGATGAAACGCGCTTACAAAACGGGTAGATGGAATCGTGTACCCACTTTTGGACCGGTATTGATCCCCTTCCTGAGATGCCAGTGGCGAGTGGACAGCAGTCCACTAAGACGATGAACGAGGGATATCGTTCGACAAGTGGTAGAAGTCACATTATAAATACTTTTGAGTTCCTCTGGAATGCGCCACAACTTGCGGTTTCTTCCACTTAACAAGTACCCGGAACTTCAGATCGTGGTCTACCAAATAGCAAGTCGTGGGAAATATGATGCAGCGGTCATTACCAGATCAAGTAGCTTCCACTCCGGTATAGGCACCCAATGACGTTTCGGATCTGATGTGTTGATTGTGTAAGTACAACTAAGGTCAAAACGACCTCAGTGAGCCTGTTTTTTCGGCTAAAACCCACATCCACGACAGAGGGGAGGCTTTTTTTATTACTGTCGAATATTTTCCAATAAACTAACTTAAGTTCTTCGAATCCATCGTACGAAGTAGCTCTGGGTATTTCATTGACAACCAAAAAATCAGGAATTAATGAAATACCTGGTGCCTAATTCACAGNGCTCGGCTTACTAGTTTCTTCGGATTCCACAGCTTTCCGTTGGTCTTGGAGGGCGTCTGCTGCATTTGTAGTACACCCATTCGTAACGCAAAATAGCGTTGGTGCTTCGATTACTGGATGAACGCACAAATACCACAAAGTTATTCTTCATGTATTCATTTAAGGCCTTCTCAAATGCAGTGAAGGATGAAAACGATACAACCACAAATTTATCAACGAAAGCCACTTCCGAAGCCATAGCACACGAAGTTCAAAGCCGAATGTGAGCCAAAAATTTTTAAAAGAGCTCGATTAAAACAAATCTCAAAAAATTAAGGCAGATGATGAGGGTTTTCAGACTGAGCATATATGCAAACAAGAGCAACATTTTGACGTTAAAGTTTTTATTTCGGCCGCAGGGGTTTTACAGCAAAATGCATTGTGCGTCGAGCCGCTGGCCAGACAGGCACAATTTTAAAAAATTGTTTAAGCACACCCAAGGCCTACTTCGGGCGCAAAATGCACACTCATAGTGTGTAATTCTATTGAAACTTGACTGTACCTGCTCACAAGTGTTTATCGTATGATCCTAATTGTACGCATTTCGCTCCCAATCAAAGGTACTCCCCGACTAGCTCCAGGAATTAAAAGTAACCCGATTGTACACCCCTTTATATGACCATAACCTATTGCTGCACCTGCAGTTGACTTGAGCCGGTAGTTTTGGTTTAAGTACACGCACGTTTTTGCTTCGCTTCGGTCTTCTCTCCTGCGTTACCCAACCTGTGCGAATGCGTGCTCTGTGTGCCTTGTGGTTTCAATACCGTTAATTTCCATACCTGCACATCGCATAACCGGCGAGCGCCGTCGCTGCATCCTCGCAAACGTCGCATACCGCCATTTTCCTGATACCTCACGCTACAAAGGGCCTCCAGTGGCCAGGCAGCCGCTCACCAGAAAGAAACAAAGTAATTTCGCCAAGACTATGGACATTTCTAAGATGCAAATTTTACGGTGTGTTATTGTACTCCGTTTTACCATTCCAGTGATATGTCGCTCGTGCTTTTTTTACGTGAGCAAACATTCGAATTCATCGACAACCGCCAACTTGAAAGTGATCACCAGTTTACAAGATAGGGCACAAGATCAAATCTTGGCGGATTTCAACTTGTTACTTGAATGGGATATAGCATCTTTAGAACATCCCAAATAACTTCCACCCGAATAAATAGTCCAATAAGGTTTGTATGCTTTACACAGGTTGGATAAAACAAGTTAGTTGAGATTTTTTGGTGAACTTTGAGAAAAACGCATTTCTGGAAAGCTCGCCTAACGTTTTGTATAATAATGCAAGTGAAATTGATGGGTTTTGCAAGCTGCATGTGGATATACACCTCTGTGGGCTGTCCTCACTTTCATATCTGCGCAGCCGGTCCGTAAAGGATACGGCCATTTAAGGTATCTGAATGTGACCAAACGCAAGGCTTTCCGCCAATGATGGTGCCACACTAAAACAAAACAAATTAAATGACTCTCCATATTAGCACAACGGGATTGGCTCCTCGCAAGCCACGACGTCACGAATTCATAGTGTAGCATGTCCATGTATGATGAATTATTCTGCAAATTATCAGTATGAGCGAATTGTTTAGGTGAGTGAATCTCCGAGGTTATGAATCGCCACCGGCTACTTGAATCTCAAGTTCAGGTGTTGTAAAAATATTTTTGGACCCTAGCTCCACCGGCGTTCTGCTTCCTCTAGTATAGCATTTAGCTATTTATTTTGGATATCTCATTTTTAATCGCACCCAACCACCCCTTCAACTCTTTCTCGCTTGATTAGACACCACCGAGTTATAAGCTTGCTAGCGTAGTCCCACTGAGGCTTACTGCTACCTGATTTAAATCAAACAAACCCATCACTCCCATTTTCCTCTGAGCGCTTGCTAGACTTTGATTCCCCCTAATCCTTCCGATCACTACGTCCAAAGAAGCGCCTTGCAGGCAAAACGCACAACACTCAACCTCATCACCCTTCACGGCCGGCCGATACATTGCCCCAGTTAAATTCAGCCTGCTCAGTTGTACTAACCGACATTTCCCTTCCTGCCGCACTCGGTAGCTGTCTTCCCTCTCCTTCACCAAAATCTCAGCTCCACACCGACCTGGCAAATCCTCCCTCTCCTTCACCAAAAGGATCCCAGCTCCACACCGACCTGGCAAATCTAAGTGCTAATGTGCATAAGATGAAGATCGAACTGCTATCCTATAGTATCATGCAACCACTTTCCTGCCTTCTAACTCCTGATGCACTGTGCGATCCATCGGATCTTGCAAAAGCGTCAGTTTTTATTGACATACTCGCCTCGGAGATTAGTCGGCCTATGGAATTCCGTAAACAGGTCTTACCACATAATATTTCCGACTGCATCCCGATGGAACGCACAAAAGCAGCCATCTTACAGCATGTGACATGCACGACACAGTCTGTACAGCCCGACGGTTGCGAAAGTCGAAAACCTCCTTGCGTTGCTCAATGCTAATGCGATTCAGAGATGAAGATATTGCAACGCGCCTGTAAACATTTCAGGCCCTTCTTTCCTCGGCTCAGACATTCCAGACCGTAAAGGTCAAAGCTGCTTGCACCAGACCACGAAGACAGCTCAAAAGAAAGCCACTCTCCAAACATCCACAACCGACTACTGATAAACATCAAACGAATCCATGTTCTGTTCAACAATCCGTACCACCAAATGCTCTCGATGTGATTCAGTCGCAGACTACTCATGAAACCCATCCCTCGGAAAGTTGCACAAGTCATCACCGATGACACATGTGCAGATAGCTGTCGGAGAACACCCGATTCAACCAACGGCTTACCGAATCTGTCAACTAGTCCGGCCTCTTTTACAACCCTCTCCAGTTCCGCTGGAAACCCCTCGTACCCGATCGGAATTGCAGCCACCTCCCAAAATGCCGCAGCCGACGCCTTATCCTCTAAAGCTCGATACTGCGGCACAGATCCCCTCCCTTACCCTCACTATCCTAGGATCGCTCCCTCCGAAGCCCACCATACCGTGATGTCAACTTGCGGCCCAATGACACACAAACCCTCATAACCGCCTCCAGCCCTGTATATCTTATTCTGTTGGGTGACTCCAACCCGCCGGACATTTCCTGGTCCTCCACCGCGGGCCTCGCCCGTTACACCGCGCTGCTTGCACAACTTGGTGTGGAGGGCTGGTCCCAAATTTGTACGTAGTCCACTCGTGGCCTACATACTCTGGGTCTAATATGCTCCAACGGTGGCCATTTGGCTATAGCTGTAGTTGTTCCACGCTTCCCAGGAAGTGATCACTGCGTCGTTTCTCGCAACGTAGTCAGTTATGACCAGACTGCCCCTCTGAGTCGATCAATGTTTCATCGCCTCTCACCGGATACCTTACAAGCCTTTTCGTCCACGCTGGCTCCCCAGGATTGAGACGAATTCTTCCCGTCGAGAAACATGCCGCGTCAGTGACATCTTTTACCAAAACCTATTGACTGATTTTCACTTTGTTTCTCCTGTAAAGTATTTTCACGCCAGTATCTCCGGCCACGATAGGTTATTAAAAACCTCGGATGCCAAAATACACATGGCTAGCAGAGAATATAGGAGATCTCATTACTAATCCTCATCAACAAACTCTCTACTAGCCGAGAATCCTAGGGCGTATCTCTCAAACGCCGAGAAGAGTACACCGTCTTCAGATCTCCTCCCCAATCCAAATAGCTCAGCCGAATGTTCCGTAGGCGTTGTACCCTAAACAGCCATTCAATTGCTTGTTTGCGTTCCACAGATAGTGGCCCCATCACTGATCCTGTCAACATAGCAGACCACCTGAACGCTTACTTCGCCAGCAGCTACTTATCCTTTCCTCTCAAATCCAACCCCATACCCATTGCTGTTTGCCTCCAAAGTGTGAACGGTCAGGGTAACCACCCGACCCTCAGTAGCGTAACCATCTCCTAACTGGTGCTTCTTCCCTTCTTCTGAAGATTAAGGACTCTGTTTTGCCAGGGGCCGATGGCCTTCCACTCCGTATTCTTAAACAAGGCAGAGGAGGTATTTTAATCCATGTACCAAATCTTTTCTCCCACTCTATAAACTATGAAATCGTCCCTTCCCAGTGAGAAATCTATAATCCACCTGCATTTTAAATCCGGATCATTACAAACCCCTTCCAACTACAGAGGAATCTACCATACCTCCCTCTTAATGAGAACCCTTGAACGTCTGGTCAAAGGTCCATTAACCAAGTTCCTACTGACAACTAATGCCTTAGATGACCAGCAGTATGGTTCCCTGTCTCAAAGGTCCGTTGATGACTGCCAGCTTCACCTCTTCAAGACCATCACGGCAGCCTACGACGCTGGATACTCCACCGTAACAGTTTACCTGGATATTCAAAAAGCCTTTGACCCGGTCCTCCATGCATCTCTACTGCATAAGCTTAGTAACGTTAGCATCACTGGAACCTTTTTTCAGTGGTTCACCTCCTACCTATCTGACGGGACTCAAGTAACTCTACTTAGGGACACACAATCATCTCCACTATCGATCACAAGTGGAGTCACCCAAGGAAGGGTACTAGGCCCCGTCCTCTTCTTACTGTACATCAACGGCGTCTTCGGTGCCATATCCCAAGGTAAAGTCTTCCTCTTCACGAACGATATAAAAATTGCTTCCACATTTCCTCCATCTGCACGATTCCTTACGCTTCACCAGATTAATTAGGACTTAGACTCGCTGACTTGCTGGTCAAACGACTCCGGCCTAAGCTTCTACTCCACAAAATCCTGCATAGCATCTTGCCACTGCTCCCTCTCCGCCGATGCTTTCACAATAAATGGAAATCTTATTGCTCATTTCACCGATATCAAAGATCTTGGCCTCAGATACTCCTGTACGTTTAACTTTTCCCACCAGGTGCAGTACCAGGTTGTCCAAGCACGCGGGCTCAGTCTTTTTAGGTTGCGCTCCCTTCACCTTCCAAACACAACGGTTGCAATTTTTTTAGCTATTCTTTCGACCAATCGTCGGGTTCTGTCCCGTATTCTC